TCTCTGTTGAAGACCACAATCCCATAATGTTGATTACCTAATTTTCTATCTCATTTTTGTCTCTGCACAAATTGGCCCTTTATTTTTTTCAACAGTTTTTCTTAGTGGACCAAATTTTTTTTATGCTTTAGGCACTAAAATTGTTTGGGCCGGCCCTGCATACAATCTCTTAACTAAAACTTAAGAGTATATTATCATGGTCTAGCGGTAACATTTGGGATTCTATAACTTTTTAACCCGAGTTCGAATTCCCTAAAGTTGTGAAAAAAATTTCGAAGGAGGCCCACGGTTTTTTGTTAACCGCCATTAACGAGCTTCAACAGATTGCACCAGAAGCAACCATTGCTGCAGCTTCTGACCTTACTTCGTCTCCTCCGCATCGTATCATAAGCACCCTGACGGCGTTGTCTTTGATTCGCACTCAAACCAATCCAAGGATAATTGCAACTTTCAATTCTCATTTCATATAAAATTATAGACGAAGAAGGCTGAGAGGGCGCTAGGGTTTCAAGGGTTAGGGTTTCTAGTGAAGGAAAAGAAAGAAAGGGTTACACATATGTTCAACATTCTCCTATCTTCATTCATTAATCAAGACATTCCCTATACCAACCTCTTTCACAAATCACCTAATTACACTTATCTTCATGTATTTGGGTGTCTTTCCACATCATGTGTTTTTCTCGACTATCCTACCAATCAGAAAGGATACCGCTTTCTCGACATTACTACAAGAAAGGTAATAATAAATCGCCATGTTATTTTTGATGAAACTCAAGTCCCTTTCTCTACTACTTTGCAAGGGTCTCCATCTCTTATTTCTTATTCTACCCCAACTCCACCTCCTGCTTTATCACCACTTCTTCAACAAATTCTTATTCTGCCACTTATTCCCGATGAGATGGAACAGCCACAAGTTCCACCACCTCAACCAGTCCATATCTTGATTCCACCAGCGACCGTTCCACCACATCAAGTTGCAGCTCATCATCCCATGATGACTCGCAGCGAACATAAGATCACCAAACAAAAAAAATTGATATCTCTTCACACATAAATCATCCCACTTCTCCCAAAATCTCATCTTAACCATATATGATGAATATAATGCTCTAATTAAAAATAGACCGTGGATTTTGGTACCACGACCCAAATCTATTAACATTGTGCGTTCTTTATGGTTATTCATGCACACGTTTGGTTCGGATGATAAGTTGTACCACTACCAAACTCGATTTGTGGGTAATGGCAAATCTCAAGAAATTGGGATTGATTGTGATAAGACGTTCAACCCTGTCGTCAAACACGTAAACATTACGCTTGTTCTCAACGTTTTTTCTGTCTTGCTGATGGCCAATTCATTAACTTGATGTCAAAAGGCCTTCTTCCATGACAATCTTGACAATTTATATGCACCAAACTCTTCACCAACTTCCGCTCCGACCTCATCATCCCCCCTTAAGACGCTGTAGTGGAGTGATGGAATAGGAAATATGTATTATTTACATTCTTTATATACATCTCAATTTCTTATAGAGAAATCTCACACTCGTATAATATATCCGTATCATAATGAATTGAAAGAACATTGATGATTACAAATCCAACAAATGCTTGTTGGAAAAAGGGTTTAGATCATTGTAGTGTAGGTGGATTCTCAGAGATGATAAAGGAGATGTCAAATTGTTAGGAGCGAAAACTTATCCATAGTATATCTCTAGTATTGAAGCTGAAGTTATGGGTGGTGGTCTGAGGTATGAACTGTTTGGACAATTTTGGATTACAAGAGGTGAAGTTTGAAAGTGAAATATTTTGATGATGACGAAAGGAGCCGATGTTTTGGCTGAGTCTAAAGAAGAAGTTCACGGATTCAATGTTTGGACAAAAAAAAACAGTTAAACCCATCTTGTAAGTTTAGAGGAAGAGAAGGAAACAAATATGCGGATGCGATCGCAAGAGTTAGCTTCTTCGAATAAGACCATCAATTTCATCATGCATAGTCTATAACTCTCTCTTAGATTCAATAAACATATATTTAATCTATATATATAATGAGAGAGTTGTCTCTCCATCTGGGGTGTCCACATCATCATCCAAGTCATCTTATTTTAATTTTGTATGGGCTCCACATATTTTATTTATTAAAACAAAAAACATTAAAACTATAATTAATTCACATATTTTATAATTTCTATTATTATTTTTCATTAAACAAAAATAATAATTTACAAAAGAATAAATTAAATATTAAAAAGAAAAAATAAATTTATAACACAAAATATGAAATTTTTGAATATAGATTGGATAAATATAAAATTAGATAATTATATATTACATTTAATGAGTAAATATTCGTAAATGACTAGAGATATGAAAAAAAAAAACTTAACATATAATCATTTTTAAGAGTTACAATTATTTACTAGAATAAAGAAAAATAAGAAACATTGGCATCCATGTAATCATATTTTACATTTTGGGCTCTACATATCTTATTTTGAAAAAAAAACATTAAAACTAAAATTAATTCACACTCTTTCTATTTTTAATTTTTACTAAATAAAAACAGTAATTTACAAAAAAAAACAATTTAATATTATAACAAAGTGGAAAAATATACAATACAAAATATGAAAATTTTATATAGAGAAATAAATATAAAATTAGATAATTATATCTTAACATATAATGAGTAAATATTTTTAATTGGTTAGAGATAGGAAAAAAGAAACTTATCATATATTTTAATGGTACAACAATCATTTTTAAGAGTTACAATTATTTAGTAGAATAAAGAAAAGAAGAGCTGAAAAAACAAATTTAAAGGTTTTTACTTAAAATAAAAAGTACATCATTTCTGAAAAAATACAAATTTAAAATTTGAGAATATATTTGTTAATGTTAAGTATCAACTCATGATACCGATTAAATATTAAGAAGGAATAAGTACATATTATTATTTATAACTCTAATATAATATAAATATGTATATTAATAAAAATTTCTATTTTATTGATGTTTTCTAAATTAAAGTGTTTTGAAAAAAACAAATGAATACCTAAAGAAAAAAATTAATATTAATCAGTGTTTAGAAAATTAATATATATTGAAAAAAATAATGTGATTTGAAATACAAAGAAAAAAACTATCCTAAACATCACCAATAAAAATAAAATAATCTAATTGAAAAGTAAAACTGTGTAATAATAATATTTGAGAATGCTATTTGGAAATTAGAATATGTTTTAATTGGAAACTGGAAATGAAAGATTTTTAATTAGAAACAACATGGATATTTAAAAAAAAAAAACATAGTTTTATATTAAAATAATTTTTATGAGTTCATATGTTACACATTGAGAAAAATAAACACTAAGAATACTATACAGAATCATAATATACGGTAAATTTTATATATGAAAAGAGATTTTTGTATTTTTCAAATCGTCAAGATAAAGTGTAAAATTAGACGTTTGAATCCAATGTTTATAAATAGGAATGAGTCTATATATATGAGATTTGTTGTCTATAAAGCAATTTTAGATAATCCAAAATATGGTAAAAAAACCTTATGAATAGAATCTCCCCGAATAAAACCTTATGAATAAAAATCTTATAAGTTGTTCACTTTAATAAAAAGATCATACAACTTATAAAAAAAAAGATGAAATAGATACGATCTATCTTAAAGACTAATTCATAGTCGAATATATTATATGTGAGCCAATATAAGGTGAATAGATAGTACATTTTAAGAGACGACGAGTAAATCATAGAAGATAATAAACATGAATAAACTAAAATCTTTTAAAATTCAAATGGTTATATTTATACTCAAAAATTCGTATTGATAAAAGTTTTAAATTAAAATCCGGCGCAATGCGCGGGTACATAATCTAGTTGAGTTCAATTAGCATTTTAAACATACTAGATTTTAACCCGCAGTACACCGCGGGGCTATATTTTCTTAAAAAAATCAAAATGTAATTTGTTTGATAGATTATTTTGATTGTTAATTTTAGGATTTTACCCGTGGTATACTATCTTTTATAAATATCAACCCAAACCCGTCCCATCATATTACCCGTCCCGTGAAATTAAACATCATTTAGTTATTTTTCTTTTTAATAATACTTTTATTTAAAAGCTATATAATTCAAGTCAATTTAAAAATTTCTTTTAAATGGTTCCCATAAGATATATATACATATATATTAAATTTGTATAGAGTTGAAATAATATTAATATTACACACTTTTTATATAATTTAAATATTATAAATATTTTTAAAAATATGCAATATATATTTTTTGTTATTGAATAAGAGGATATTATGTGTAAGAAATGTAGAAAATAAGAGTTTAATATTTTTATTATGGAGTCGCAAGAAAAATCTTTTATTTCTATACATGTTATTCGTTTATTAATAATAAAAGAAAACAAATCCTTTAAATTAGATATTAACTAAAATAAACGCACCATAATTACTTATTAAGTAACAACCAATAAATTTCACCAAAAAATATGTAACAACCAATAAATTCTAAACGCAGTAATTAAAGAATGAGATATTAAAAAAATATATTAAATAAGATATAAGAATCTTAAAATAATTGAATATCTAAATAATTTAATTGTTAGTGTCGATTTTAATGCCTTCATTAATGTGGATTTTTTTTTTACAGAGAAATATTTCCTAAAGATTATCACATTAATGACTCAGAAAATTAAGGAAGATATGAATTTATGATTCTCGAAATCGTGTTGGTAATATCTTTAATTAATATTTTTCAAATTTAAATAATTAATGCCAATGGCATTCATCCGTAAATACATTCCAAATCCAGGATTTATTTGCTAAAAGTCATCCAAAAATGTATATATAGATCTTTGGTTGATTTCAATTAGCATTTTGAAATAATTAAACGAATACGCATAATTATGAGAAAAGATTTTTAAAATCAAGTGACCAATAAAAATATGATTCTGTTGAATTCGATTTAACCAATAAAACTAGTGACCTTTGCTTCTCCATCTCTCTCCCTCCTTTGAACAAGTCAAAATTGATTTTAATCCGTTTGATTTTCTTTGACTTTCCTTTGAAATTCTCTAGTCGAGAGCTTTCTCTATCCATCAATTTAGGGTTTTCGATTTCGTTTTCGAGCTTTTCTCGCTCTTCTCTCACTTTTTCTTTCCTCTTTTGTCTCCTTTCTCCTTCTTCAATCTCCGCCATGACTCTCTTCTGTTTGATTCCGAAGTTCTCATGATCTGGGTGCTTAATCAGATCGAGATATCGCCTAGGGTTTTCTGTTGTTTACGCGTTTTGTCATGGTGAGTAGTACTCAACAACGCACGGACGATGGCTCTTCTCCACCGGTGGTAAAAGCTCTTAAGACCTATGGAATCACGAAGCCACTTTCTATTGCTGGTCCTTGTGCCGCTGATGTTAAGCGTAATTTGGAACTAGAGAAGGTAGCTTTGTGTTTTTATTTCCAATGGAAAATTGTTTTTAGGAACAATGCGTTTTTGGCTGATTTATTGTGAAGTTTCTGGTTGATGAGGGGCTCTATGAGAGCAAGGAAGAAACTATGCGGAGAGAGGAAGTTCTGGTGCGCATTGATCAGGTGAATAAGCGTGTTTTGTTGACTGTCTTCTCATGATGATGATAATGCTAAGACTTGTTCTCTCATTTTTCTTTTCGTAGTGTTTAGGCTAAGACTTCTATGTGGAAATTGATAATTATGTAGTGTAGGCCTTCTATGTCTATTGGCTCATCTAACATATCTTTTTTTTCAAACTTTTTGTGTAGATTGTAAAACACTGGGTGAAACAGTTAACTCGTCAGAGGGGCTATACAGATCAGATGGTGGACGATGCAAATGCTGTCATTTTCACTTTTGGATCTTACCGCCTTGGAGTAAGTTTAAGTTTTAGTTTAACTTTATCTTATCTGTTTAGCAAAAGGTTATGGGTAACTTGGATCATGTATTTTCTGTTGAGCCTTGGGAATATCACTGAAATCAAGAGAAGTAACATTGTATTCGTCTCTACATTACTTGTATTTGAGGGTGAAATTTTTTTATGTTGTTGACTTGCAGGTTCACGGACCTAGGGCTGATATTGATACTTTGTGTGTTGGCCCATCTTATGTTAACCGAGAGGTAACTATTGAATTACGTCTTACTGATGTAAAGGTCTGGTGTGTAGTTTAGTTGCTAACAGGTTAATTTTATAGGAGGATTTCTTCATTATCTTGCGTGATATGTTGGCTGAAATGGAAGAAGTGACTGAACTTCAACCTGTTACTGATGCCCATGTCCCAGTCATGAAATTTAAGTTCCAAGGAATATCGATTGATCTTCTGTATGCTAGCATATCACTTCTAGTTATCCCACAGGTAATCAATATAGCCTTTTTCAGTTTCTGTTGAAACTTAGGGGATGGTTCACGATACCTTTATGTTATCTTGGATTTCGTTTGGTGGGTTTGGTGTGTGTATTGTATGTTGATGATCACATAGTATTATACACATCACCCAAAGGTTAAGATATCAAAGAAACTTCTATACAGAAATTGTTAGCCTTAGTGAACATGGAGATCTAGAACTGCTGTGTTAGCGCTGTCAGGCTTGATTTATATATGAGTATTGAGCTGAGTTCTCGCCAAAGTTTATAAATTCTTACTGAGTCAGATCCTGTTATTTTCTGGAATCAATTTATTAACAGGATCTGGATATCTCCAACTCTTCTGTGCTGTGTGACGTGGATGAACAAACTGTCCGCAGTCTTAATGGTTGTAGGGTTGCTGATCAGATTCTTAAACTCGTTCCAAATTCCGAGGTAAAGTCGTTGAATGCCAGTTTTTTTTTGTTATAAACTAATGAATCCTGTAAGCCATCTCTTATGTTATGTGCAAATGTAGCACTTCCGGACAACATTAAGATGCCTGAAGTACTGGGCTAAGAAGCGTGGGGTCTATTCAAATGTAAGGTGGTGTCTTTCTGAATATCACATCTGTTGACAATATTTTTAGGTTAAAGCTTTTGTAATCCCTGTTATATTGAGCAGGTTACTGGATTTCTTGGTGGTGTAAACTGGGCACTTCTGGTTGCACGCCTGTGCCAGCTTTATCCAAATGCTATTCCTAGTATGTTGGTTTCGCGATTTTTTAGAGTATATATACAATGGCGCTGGCCGAATCCAGTCATGCTTTGTACAATAGAAGAAGATGAGCTTAGCTTTCCTGTCTGGGACCCACGGAAAAATCATCGTGACCGCTATCATCTTATGCCAATAATAACTCCTGCATACCCATGCATGAATTCTAGTTACAATGTCTCTCAAAGCACACTTCGTGTTATGACAGAGCAATTCCAGTTTGGCAACACGATCTGTCAGGTTAGGAAGTATAACACCTGATTTTGTTATGAAAAGTTTACCCAGGATCCCGTTGCTAAGTAATTTTTTATATGCAGGAGATTGAGCTAAATAAACAACAATGGAGTTCCTTATTTGAGCAATATATGTTCTTTGAGGCATATAAAAACTACCTTCAGGTTGATGTACTAGCATTAGATGCCGAAGATTTATTGGCATGGAAAGGTTGGGTGGAGTCACGGTTCAGGCAATTGACCTTGAAGGTAGATAGCCTTAAGTTCAGTTGATGTTGAGGAGTACACATTCTGTGTCTCCAGTGTGTTCTTCAATTTTTTTACTGGTAGAATAAATAATCATCTAAGGTTTCTCTGCTTCTCTTTTTTAATCCAATAATGCAGATAGAACGAGACACAAATGGGATGTTAATGTGCCACCCTCAACCAAATGAGTATGTAGACACTTCGAAGAAGTTTCGACATTGTGCCTTTTTCATGGGCTTGCAGAGGGCAGAAGGATTTGGTGGCCAAGAATGTCAACAGTTCGATATACGTGGAACAGTGGACGAGTTCAGGCAAGAAGTAAACATGTATATGTTTTGGAGACCTGGGATGGATGTGTATGTTTCTCATGTTCGAAGACGGCAGCTTCCATCTTTTGTTTTCCCAAAGGGATATAAAAGGCCTCGGCAGTCAAGGCACCAGAATCAACAATGCAGAGAACCTGGTGAGGGGGTCGTTGGTTCTTTGTCCGACTCTGTTGATGGATATGCGAAGAGAAAGAATGATAATGAAACTATGGATACCCGGCCAGAGAAACGTGAGAAGCGTGCATCTCGTAGTCCACATAGTCTGGATGCAGTTTCTCCTGTCAGCAGTGGTATCACTACTGGTGAGACTCCTCAGATTGGCATTGCGCCAGGTCCTAGAGCTGAATGCTTAGTAACTGGTGATCTTGTTTGCAATGTTAGAAGTCTTCCTAACGTGGAAGTCGAGGCTGAAAAATTTATCCGTAAAAGCACGGAACTCATAAAATTTTCTCAATATGAGCATAACTCCGGTTGCGAGCAAATCCTGGAAGTAGATAGTAGGGCTCTAGTTCAAGGTTATCATGGTCTGGCTGAGCCTGTAGGAAAACATGTGAGACCTGACCCTCGTGCTGTGCTAGCATGTGAAGGTTGGCAGAATAAAGAAATAGGTCGTGATATGGGCTCTGAATCTATTAATGACACTGCCACACAACATCTTCCAAGGCGACTTAATGTAAAAGAAGATGTTGATGAAGTTGAGAGGGAAGCCAAGTCGGGAGAAATTGCTGATGGTGTTTTGTGGAATGGATACTGTGGGCGGAACCTTGATCATGAGGTGAGTTTTTGCTGTTCGATGATAATATTGTAAACGAATTGGCGAAATGTCTTGAACGTACTGGGTTGTTAGTGATCATGGGTTGTTACAGGGTTTTTTGACTCCTGCAAATTTGGATTCAGCTGTGGAACATAGAAACTTGCATGCAGACAGATTGTTCAAAAGTGGCTTGTCAGAAGAACTTCAGGTTTTTAATTCACACTCACTGCATGACATATTGAAGGGTGATCTTGTGCTTTATTTTTTGAATCAAAAAATATGAGATAACAAGCTGAAATTAGAATGTTGTGCTACTTAAGTGATCAATTTTATGTTCTCCATCTTTTTCTGAAATATTTCCATCAGTTTTCATTGACAGGTCCTGCACTGCCATTCTTTATTCTGTATTATTTCATACTTTTTGAAACTAGGTTCTTTTCTCTTTCCAGATCACTTCTGACTTGTCTCCTTGTATATTTTATTTGTGTCTTAGTCAAATCCTTTGCTCAGCGGGATGGGGAAGCTGGACGATGGAGCTAGGTCAGAATCTTTGCAGAATGCAATGATGAGGTATGTGTTTTTGCAACCCATTACTGCTTTTTTTGCCAATCATGATCTCTTTATGCTCTTGTTTTGGTTTTCTTGGTACTTTTTATAGCAGCAGGAGGTTGAGCTTGAAGTCCATAGTGTGAGCGAGGTCTCCGCAATTCTAATGAGAACCGGAAGAACAAAGGAAAAAGTAAAAAGTAAAAAGAAAACACAAAAATAAATAACAAGAATCAAGCAACCTAGTGTTTGCTTTGGATGACAGCTTCAGAACTCGACACTATTGGTAAGTTCACCTAAATATGAAAACTAAAAGCTTATAAAGGTAAAAAAAAGTTCTAAAAAATCCAAAAAAAAAAAAAGATAGAAGAAAAGAATAAAGATAATAACTTTCAAATGATTTACTTGTTGGATTCTTGGTGGGATTGTGAGTATCCATCCAAACTCTGGGAAGAATGAGTATGAATAACTGAGTTTGGGACGAGACATGCATTGTTCGACAATATATGCTCCAGGTGAAATGTGGAGCTGTGCTAGTTCAATAAGAGAGATACAAAATTAAAAAGAAGAAACCAGTGAGATAACCATAGAACAAGGCAAGTGTAATGTATCTGTCTGCCTATTCTGGTTATTTCAGACTTGTTTCTGTATTTTATATGCTTTGAGATTTGGGATCTTTCAATGTTATATGATTATGTACATAAAATCATCTCCTGTTTTCTTGTTGCTGCTAGATTTTAATTACTAAAGTTTGCTTGAGGTTTGTGAAAAGAGTTGAGAGATAGAAAAAGTTTATCTATGGATTACGATGACTTTTTCGATCTCTGGTTTATGCAAGTAACTGTTACTAAGGTAATTGAATTGATCACTGGATTTCTTACTATGATGTTGAAACTGAACACAGCTAATTCAGCATATTTAATTTCCATTGAATTGGTTAATGATTGTGCAAGAAGTCTTAACGCAAAGTGGATACATAGTGAATGCACCTATCTGTTTAGAACAAGATGGATCAAAATTATTGCAAAAATAATAATAATACCTCAAGAATCAATAAATATTTCGCAAATGTAACTCTACTCATTTTTTCTTTTATAATTTCAAAAACGCCGACCTTAATAGTGGCACTATCTCCTCCTCTGATAGAATCCCATAGCTTGGTGCATATTGCGCATTGTGACATCTCCTAATTCCGCAGCTCTATCCGCGCCTTCTGACAATACTTTGTCCAAATACGCTGGTTCCGCTATTATCTCCTGATAACGGGCCTGACACAAAAAACATATACGAAATCAAATTCTGTATCACATTAACTTATGCACATGAAAAATGCCCTTCTAGCCATTTTACTTATGGAAACTGCAAAAACATCGATGAAATGGAACTGACGCACTCAAAGAAATGTATATTGATTCAAACTTTTGACTTCACAGACCTGGATAGGACTCAAATGTTCGATCAAAGCATCTGCAAGGAGAGGCTTAAATGTACCCCAGCTCATATCTTTGCATTCCTCCGTTACTTCCTGCAATCGATTAAAAAAGTGTTCACCGGATTATATTTTAAGTAACTATTGTGGCCGAGGGAGTAAGTGACATGTGAAAGCATCTCTGTGACCCAAATCTTTAGAGACAAACCATTATCTCTTTCTCCATACCTCTTTCGTCTTGCCGGAAACAATCTGATATACTGAGAGGAGATTGTTGCATTCAGGTCTCTCAGCATTGTCAAATTCAAGGCTGTTGGAACAAGGAGCAGAAGCTTTCAGTATTTGATATCTCAATTTGAAAGCTAAAATGGTAACAAGAAAAAGAAAAAAAAAACTTGTGCATTGCGAGGGGGAAAGCGACATAATTAGCACTCACCCTGCAAATGAGTCTGTCTTGCACCGTTTTATCTTGTCCACAATCAGCTACACAATTTTAAGGAGGAATGAGAAATGGATTTAAGTAGCAGAACAAGAACACGTACAACGAACATGAAAAAATTGATATTTCAAAAGCCTTACAAACATCAGTGAGTTCATTTTACTTACATCTTTTGAGTCAAGGAGATTGATCCGGGATTGATCAGAAGGTGCGGACTTGGACATCTACAAGATTTACAAGACAGTGAGGCGACAGCGACAAGTAGGAAATTCCTCAGTACCATTTGAGAATAACAATAAGCAAGCCCAAAAATTGGATTAGTTCAATATGGTCTTACAAACGGATGGAAAGATCTAACCAGACCAATTAGGGATACTAGAAAGAAACAGACTAGCCAGTAGTAAAAGTCTATTCGATGTTAAAGAATATTAAAGATTAACTCAATATATTTCTAATAGGATTTGTGAACGCTATTCATCTTCTCTAAAATTTTATTTATATAAGACCAATTGTGATGCAACTGCTGAATGCAGAAAGAAAATTAATTTACAAGAAACCTTAAAGTAGCTGTGAATGAAAACATTATACCTTGGAAAGACCATCGGTAAGAGACATAACACGGGCTCCAGCTTGTGGTATGAGTGGTTCTGGTATCTACAAAGAGGATAAATTTATAGAACGATTAACCATCTCTGACAAACCTAGAAAGCCACACAATGAGGATAGGCAAAGCAATTGGAAAGTCTCACCTTAAAGAGCGAACCACCGCGCCTGGAAATGAAAATCGACAATGTTGTACGGATGAGGGGATACAAATGAAGGGGAAATTAAGCCATTACGAAACATGAAAAGCACAGATCATAAGGACTTGTTTTAATGGTATATACTTAACATACTAAAATGCACAAAAAAAAGTTCTATACCCTCCAAGCTTCTTCCACTTTCTTCCACCATATAAATGATTCACACGCTGAGCGATTTCACGGGCAAGTTCTATGTGCTGCTTCTGGTCCTCGCCAACAGGGACAAAATCAGACTGCAGAGGCATGTGACAGAGAACCAAACAATTCAGAAAAATGGTCATCCTGCGTGCAATCAGCAGGTATTTTACATGCAATTTTTAACAGGACAGCGAAACAACCCCAAATAAGATCACCGAATAATCTTACATGAGCTCAGCTATATAAGATTATACAATAATTGCAGCACACTTAACTACTTTAAAGTATCACCTGATACAAGAGGATATCAGCAGTCATCAGATCAGGATAAGTAAACAAAGCGACACTAGCATCCTCAGCCCCCTGCCAAAAAAGAACGAAAATGGAATCAGTAAACAGAATTCTAAATGTATACAGTCTCATAATAGACACAACTATGCAATTATTATTATCATCAGGTTTATGCAGCAAAAAGACTAAGTTGACTATGCTGTTCTTATGTCCAATACATTAGAAGATTACATATGTTATCTAACTAGTAACACAAAGAAATCAATAACAAAACTTAAAAGTATTAGGCAGATTTTTCCCTTTTTTGTTTATTTGAAGCACATAATAATGAAAGAGAATAATGTGATAAGACCATGAAGCAACCATATACGCACCTCCTTGCGTGATTTCTCTTTAAATTGAGTCATTTTCTTTAACCAACCAATAGGCGTGGATGCAGATAAAAGCCACATTAACTGCGCATGAGCGGGGACGTGAGATTGCACAAATACCGAAGCCTTAGAAACGTCTATACCACATGCTAGATAAAGTGCTGCGGTATCCGTAGTTGCCTTTCCTAGTTGATGTGTATCATATGGAAGTGTTATCTACATAGATCAAGCAAAAGATATAAATAAACACGGCGAGAGAAATATCACTCAAACAAACATTTCAAAGGTAGATAATTCATACCGCGTGACAGTCTACGATGATAAAGAGTGTTTCATATGTATCCTGCAAAAATATAAACACAAAAAGATAAAATTTTGTAGCAACCAGAAAATATAAAACTGAATCCTTTACAACAAACCGTTATAAAAAAAGTGATTAATTTTGCAAATGTCTCATACATTGGTGAATGAGGAAGCCAATAGAAACCAGAAACACACTGTTTTTTTTAACTACAAAGCCTTTTAACTTTACAACAAATTGAATCCATTTCTTAAAGCCTTCAACTTTACAACAAAGGATCTAAACTGATGAATGTTGCAAATGCTAATGCTTATTGACTAACTAGAAATGAGAAAGAACCTGAAGAGCGACCCAATTTTTGATAGCACCGAGATAGTTTCCTAAGTGAATTGAACCTGTAGGCTGGACACCAGAGACCACGCGTTTCCTGTCATCAGGAGAATCAAAATTCAACAGAGAGATCTCAGACCTAAGTAATTGCAACTAGAAGTAGGTAAAGGCAAGGTTTTTACTTTACAGAAGGAGAAGGGTCTTCTGTGGCGGCGGAGCAACAGCATCGGAACCCTTGTCCGGTGACCGGAAAGGGAGAAAAAGAGCCGGAGAGAGGAGTGGGTTTTGTGAGGAATCTAGTGCGAGACCCGAGACGAGAGAGCCTGGAGGAAGAGAGGATGAGGAAGTGAGAGAGAGTCGTGGCGTGCCCCATTCTCGTCTTCTTCTCTCTCACTGACACTCTCTCACGAAGAAGATTGGGTTTATAAAGGAAAGGATGGGTTTTTGAGTCCGTGAGGCTCACGCGGCTCAACAACAGAATTTCAAGTCAAAATCAGAATCTCAACCTTTCCAAGCAAAAACAGTTTTTACTCACTTATCCTTTTTTTTTTTCAAAAATTAATTGTTTCTTGAAGTAATTAATAGTTTACTATAAAAATAAATATAAGTAATTGTGCAATATCGGGATATACTGAAAATAGAACAAAACAAAAGAGAAATGTATTTATTATAAAGGGAAAATTCCAAAAAAAAATCTCATTAATTTTTTATTTGGACGTTTAATACCCAATTGTTTTTGGTTGGAAGAAAAATACATATATTAATTAAACGGTACGATTTAATATCCAAATAATTAAATATTGTTATTTTCATACTCACGAACTCACAACAAAAAGAATATTCCAATTTTACCCTTACCATTTCAATTAATTATTAACTTTTAGATGACATGGCATTAGTTTTTTATTTAAATAAAAATTAATTTTACTAATGTTTTACTTATGTTGCCTAAAAATAAAAAAAAAATTATATAATTATTTTATCTTAAAAAAATCAAACAAGTGCTAAGTTTCAGATAGTGAATAAACTAAGCTGACACGCCGGAGTTGGCTGCTGGCACAACAGGGTGGTGCCTTACAGGACTCTCTTAGACCAGAAGCCGAAAGTAATTCGGGGGAAATGTAAGTAATGAAAATGAATTGAGTGGTTTTCCTTTGATTGATCTTCTGCTTTGACATTTCTCCTAGGATTTGATTGATCCATCATATGAGTTATGATGTCCTCTTTTTAACACGTTATAAAAATAAGGTATGAGTTAGTGTGCATAGCTGCCTTGTTTCAGTGTATGCATAGCGTCAGCTGGATCTCGCTCATGTCTCTATAGCACCTGTGGCACCAGGGAGATCCAGCTAAGGAAAAAGAGTGTCGTGGCTGCTCCACTCCGCTGCAGTCTCATGAACGTTCGTAGAGTCGGGTTTCCCATTTACCCACAACGGAGGAGCCGCCCCCCACCAGGCAGGCAGCCACGGGTACTAGTCAGCTAATAGGATCGGCGTATGGGCAAGCAAAGAATCTAAAGCCATCCTTTCCTGTCAGTAGCCGGGAAAAGCTTACTAATCTTACAACTCTGGAAGGGATTACTTTCTTACCAACTGACTGTCCTTGCCTCTTTCCTGATACAAAAACTTGCTCGTACAAATATTAGATTTCTGACTTCCGTTCCGATTAAATGGGAGATGGGCAACCTTTGTATTGCGTCGATATCTTTCCATGACGGATAGTTGGTAAAGAGCTGATAAAGGGAACAGGGAACAAGAAGATATACATAGACTGACCGCAAGATATTATTATCCCTTCTGGGTTGATTGAAAGTGCCCCTACGGACTGGGACACCTTCTTCCAGAGCGCAGGAAGAGCCTACGAGTTCATTTGTAACAATATGAAGACCGCAGGGAACCGTAGCATGGGGGGGGGGGACGTCTCCTTTCGAACCAGTCTTTATAAACCTGGTGCAAATGGCTTTCGATAGTTGCATCGTAAACGGGCAGTGCCAAGCTAACTAACTAGGATTTGTTCAAAGGAATCTTCCCTTTATTGAGAAAAATTCTATCTATATTTCTTCCCGGAATATTTGTCGGCCTAACCAAAGCGTCACGACAACAAAAAATTACTTTTTCTTCTACTTTAGGGTTTGATAGAATCGTCCGCTATTACAGACTCAATTGACGAGTAAGCGGCCTCACGAGAGACTGTACATATTCACACTTTTTTTAGTCTCAAATTGAATAATCGAAGAGAGATGGGACCCTAGCTACGAGTCATTCCCTCTGACGTCGAATGAATTAAACATAAAAATTAGCAGAAAATCAAAAATATTAAAAATAGTCATTTGTACAATCTTATTCCGTCTTTGCAATGTCAAAGAGACGTTTCCTCTTCGATTCTAAATTTTCTCGATTAATCTCTATGAGGATCGCCGGTAAACAATCTCCGTCGTCATCTTTTGCAACCATCAAATTCGATAACCGTTCAAGATCTCTTTTTAATCGTATCCAAAATCTTCATCACCAATAAAACTAATTTGATTTTATTCGTCGTGATGCATATGATATCAACGAGCATCGATATGAACTTTTTCTTCGTCGTGAGAAACTCCCTATTCGAATATAAATCCTTCATGAATGAAACTATTTTCGACAAAATCTCAATCCGAATCTCATCGTCTTTCTCAAGATTTATAAATTCATAAAAATGGCTATTTTTAAAATTTTTTAATTTTTTTGCTAATTAATTTTATTTTAATTTTTAAAATTAAATATTTGTAAAATAAACTGAAAATTATTTTCAATTTTTTTGGGATAAAAAAAGAAATGAAATAATAATAAAATTAATTTTTATTTAAATAGAAAAACTATTGTCATATCTTCTAAAAGTTAATAATTAATTGAGATGGTAAGGGTAAAATTAGAATTTTATTTTTGTTGTGAGACCGTGAGTATGAAAATAAAAACATTTAATTGTTTGGGTATTAAATCGCACGGATTTATTAATATGTGTATTTTTCTTCCAACCAAAAACAATTAGGTATTAAACGTCCAAATAAAAAATAAATGAGGTTTTTTTTGGGAATTTTTCCTTATTATAAATAATAATGTAATAAATATATATATATATATATATGTGTGTAGTGTATATGTGTACGTAATATTTTGTTGGAAAGAAACAAGAAAAATAAAGAGAGAGGGGAGAGTAAATGAGCAGAGAGAAAGACTACTTATAGTAGAGTTTTATAATTACTTATTCTTCTCTTATTTGTACTTGGGAGTTGGGACGAAACCGAGCTACCTCCGGTATATTTGACATTTGATATTTTAAAATTTGTTAACTAAATAATTTATTTTAAATTCTTTAGTGTACATTGTGAAAAATTTCATGTGAAATTGTACCTAACATTTCAATATAGAAAACATATATGATACTAATTTTATTGTTTACTTATATACATTTATTTATTATTTTATTTTCGTTGTAATTTATTAAAATTTTAATTCATCTTTACTTTTTATTATTACTATAGAATAGTTTTCTCATCTATATCTCTCTCGTAATATATTTCTCTATTGTCTTAATTTTTATTTATATTAGTGTGTATTCTTATATTTTCGGCTATGTTGAGATAGTGAATGTTAGGATGCTTTCGTAACAATGAGTGATACTCTTTTGCATCATAATTCATGAAAGTAAAGTCGAAAATGTGCTCAAATATACCTTAAAAGTGACTTAATTACTGAGATAACACCCGTGGAGGTGGGTTGTTGGTGTCGGATCCCGCACCAGAGGTCCAGGACCAACCAAAGATTGCCACGTAGTCGGGGTAATGGCCCATTAAGGATAAAGCCCACTAGACCCACAAGTCAAAAGAACAATCGAAGTGGTTACCACCATAAGGAGAATTCGAAGTGATTGCACCTCGATACGAGTCCGGAGACGAAGTCATGGTTAAGTCGGTCCAAGGACACTTGGGCCAAAAGGCGAGGCCCATAAAGACCAGAGTCAACTCAAATTCAAACGTTGAGCATTAAAGTCAAAGAATCAAAACGGACACATTTAAGAGAGAATAATTGTACTTAATTAGCCATTTAAATGTCATTTTTCTATGTATAAGTATAGAGGCCAATGGCCATGTAAAGGGGATCTCTCTCTCGAGCAAGAAATACTATAGCAATTTTTGTAACAATTCACAAGCCTTTTGCATTCTTATTTTTTGTCCCTCAAGAATAATCTTTCCTACTTAATAAAAATACTTGAGTGTGTGAATCCGACATCCACATTTTGGCGCCGTCTGTGGGGAATCGAGGATTCTTGAGTGGTCAGATTTTTCTTTACTACATTCCCGAGATAAGCAGCAATGTCCGGAGGAGACGCCGGTGAGACATCATTGGCCGAAACCCTCAAAGCTATGCAGCAAACCATGTCGGACATATCACAAAAGTTCTCGGATGTGGAAAAGGCCGTCGATACGTTGCAAACATCCCAGGTATCTCTTAGTCAAAATGTCAATACTATACAAACTCGTATTCGCTCTTTAAGTGCAGGAAATCCTGTGGGAATCCGAAGGAGGATACTCAACTCGCCAAGTTCCGTTGCGCGAAATGAAACCAGCGGACAAACAACTCCTGGTACTACTAATAATGTAGTTCAACCACTGGATGGAGAGGCACAGCTCGAAGATGAAGCTCAACTTGCAGATCAATACGAGCAGGAAAACCTCGACCAGTTCGAGACTGTGAGGAAGGTTAGCCAAGAACTAAAAGAAATGAAGTCAAAATTCCATCAGGCTACAAGTTCGGAGCCGGATATCAATCGAGTCATTGAAGAAGCTAGGCGAACACCTTTCATCTCGAGAATTGCGAGTTTGAGAATCAAAGATTCCCGGAAGCTCAAGTTGGACCCTTACAGCGGAATGGAGGATCCAAAGAGCTATCTCGCAGCTTTTCTGATCGCTGCTGGAAGAGTCGAATTGGATGAAGCTGATGAGGATGCAGGTTACTGCAAGCTTTTTCGGAAAATCTATGCGGCCAAGCTTTAATGTGGTTCACCCAATTAGAGCCAGGTTCGATCAGCAATTTCGACGAGCTATCAGCTGTATTCTTAAAGTCCTTATGGATAAAAGTGTTTCGGATGCCGATCTTTGGAACTTATCACAAGGATCAAATGAATCACTTCGAGTTTTCATCACCAAGTTCAAAGGAGTGCTGTCAAAGCTCCCAAGAATCTCACAACAATCAGCTTTATCTGCCTTACGAAAAGGATTGCGACATGATTCAAGATTTAAAGAAGATTTAATACTTCATAAACCAGACATAATTCAGGATGCACTCTTCCGCGCAAACAACTGGATGGAGGTAGAGGACGAAAAAGAAAATTTCGCCAAAAGAAATAAGCAAGAGAAGCCAGCAATCACCGTCCCTACCAAGAAGTTCGAACCCAAAAAAGAACAAAGGACCAAAGAAATTTGGGTCGCAACCCTTCAACAGTACCATCAGAAAGCAATTCCAAGGGAAAGGAAGATCAAACACTTGGGTCCGTGATGAAAGTTTATATTGCGAC